ATGGGGTAGAGAGAGAAGATGGGAGGGAAGGGGAGGGTTGGGGAGGGGGGATAGTAGAGGATAGGAAAGGCAGCAGAATACAACATACACTAGTATGGCAGTATGTAAAAAAGTGGATGTGTAACTGATGTGAATCTGCAATATGTATACGGTGTAAAATTGGGAATTCATAATCCGTGTGAATTAAATGTATGAAATATGATATGTCAAGAGCTTTGTAATGTTTTGAACAACTAATAATAAAAAAATAGAAAAAAAATAAAGACAGTGGATGTCGCTCAGTTGTTAAGCACCTCTGGGTTCAATCCCCAGTACTAGGAAAAAAAATTAATATTATATCATACAGTAAAGAAATTCTTTAATCTCTTTTAAAGATACCAATACTAAAGAAAAAAAATTGAGGAAGGAAGATTTTTAAGAGTGTAAAGGAGTCTGAAGATCAAATTTTAAAAATATTTATTTTTTTAGTTGTAGTTAGACACAATACCTTTATTCCATTCATTTATTTTTATGTGATGCTGAGGATTGAGCCCAGGGCCCTGTGTGTGCTATGTAAGCACTCTTCTGCTGAGCCACAATCCCAAAATAAACTGTGAAACATTACAACTTTTTTTCTAATTTGTCAATTGAACCAGGTGTGCTCTACCAATGAGCTATATCCACAGCTTTCTTTCTTTTCTTTTCTTTTCTTTTCTTTTCTTTTCTTTCTTGATAGTATCTCATTAAATTGCCCAGGCTGGCCTCATACTTGTAATCCTTCTGCCTCAGTCTACCAACTAGCTGGGACTACTTGCAGGAAATACTCATGCAAACCACTGCACTTTAGACTCATTATTCTTTTTTCATTTTGGAAAATATAATTTATCATAAAATATGTTAATATATTGCTGGATTATTACTGTCATTTAAAAACAAATATTGAAACTTTAATTGCTATATTGAAGTATATATATGCCACATTAGCTAAAGCTCTTTGGTATCTTCAATAATTTTTACGGATGTAAAGGATTCTGAAGATCAAATTTTTTTAATATTTATTTTTTTAGTTGTAGTTGGGCAGAATACCTTTATTCCATTCATTTATTTTTATGTGGTGCTGAGGACCAAGCCCAGGGCCCTGCATGTGCTAGGCAAGCGCTCACCACAATCCCAGCCCTGTGAAGATCAATAATTTTAAGGGTTATTATAAAATAACCCTTTTACCAAACATATTAGAAGTATAAATTCATTTTAAAAAATGGAAAAAAGAAAAAARCTAAGGAAGATTAACATAGCACAAAATCTCACTGCCCAGAGAACCATTGTTGACATTTTGGAAGATTTTATTTTAGAATTTGGATCATTCATAGATAGTGTTACATACTGTTTTTAAACTTTTAAGTAATAACTTATAATTATTTTTTCATGTTATTAATGTTTTTTGAATGTGTGAGTTTATTACTTTGTTATATAACTGATTATGTTCTCTGATTTGTTTGGTCATTCTATGATAGGATATTTAGATTATTTGCAGTCTTGCCTAATATAAATAACTTTTTAATAATTTAGGAGAAGCTTTGCTGTATTTTCAGATTTATGTCTTAAATTCTCTTTTACAATTAAGGAAAAAATTATCTAGTTGACTCAAACCAGGGTTTTGTTTTGTTTGTAATTACTTCTTCTCAAAGCATAACATTTTGGGAAAAAAGAGCAATTTTTTTTCTATTTGCCTATTAAAAATTATCATTTTATATTAATAGTTTTATTTCCATTTTCAAGTTAACATATTAATCACTTTTTTTGTACAAGAAAGGCTGCTCAATTTATTTTTCTTGGTTAGGATTTAAGTAGCTGTGCCTGATGCATAAAAACTGGTCTAAAAACATCTGAAATGAGGGAGTTTTTTTTTTTTTTAAGGAAATTATCTTGGTTTTATTTATGCAGTGTATTTCCTTTCCTTCAGTCAACTTTTTTCCCTTTGGTACAACAAAATCATTTATTTTGCAAGTAAAATTTTTAATAATTTAGTGAAGGAATAGTTGCATGTATTTAAGAAATAAATGTTTGTGCATAGAATGGAAATTATTCTTATAAAATGGATATATATTTGCTCATCCAGTAGCAACTATAACAGGCAAATTTTGTCAAATAAGGGATTTCATTTATTTATTCTATTTATTTGTTTATATTCAATTATTTCAAGGGATAAAGAAGAAGTATACAGTCTTCAACTTTTAATTATCCAAAGACACAGTGTCAGAATTTCAGATTAGACATGACCCTTATTTTGCCTTCAGGCTCTTCCTTCTCATATTTCTTACATTTTTTTTTGCCTGCTGTGAAAAAAAATGATAAATAATGTCTGAGAAATTTCTCATTAGTGATTTTCACTTATATCTAAAACTATAATGACAAACTATCAGGATGTTTGAGGATGTATGTAGCCAACCTACATAATTCTGGACTATTTTCTCCCTATCATTGCTACCTCTATTTGGCAAGCAGTTATCTCCAAAAACTTTTTCAAATCAAATATATTTAGCTTACCTTGTGGTATTGATATGAGATATTCCCCCAATGTGTTGAAGGTGTGGTCTCTAGAGCAACAATGTTCAGAGGTAGAGCTTTGGGGAATTGATTGAAATAAGAGGGCTTTTATTTCATTAATGAATTAATCCATTGGTAGATTCATAATTTGCATGGACCGTTGGGAGGTGGTGGAAGTTTCTACCACCTAGGAGGTGTGACCTAGTTGAAGGGGTTGGGTTCTTAGCTAAATGCCCTTGGAGACTATATTTTATCCTTGTCTCTTCTCTTTCTCTCTCTCTCTCTCTCTCTCTCTCTCTCTCTCTCTCTCTCTCTCTCTCTCTCTCTCTCTCTCTTTCCCAGCTGCTTTTAGGTGAGCAACTTTCCTCTATCACATCCTGCCACAATATGCTACCTTGCCTCAGGCCCATAGCAATGAAACTGGCTGACCACGAACTAAAACCTCTTAAAACTTTGAACTCAAACAAATCTTTTCTCTTTAAGTTTTGTTACAGCAATGAAGAGTTGACTGATGCTTACACTGCTGAAGTATCTAATCTTTTTTTCAACTTGCTCCTTTAATTTTGCAGTCACTTCATAGGTAAATGTTAACAAGTTGATAATTGTAAAAATAATTGGAATGATGTAGCAAAACAATAACATTTGGAAAGCTCTTTTTAAGAAGTTTTAATTATATTTGGATGAAAATAGTATTTTTTCCTTTCCACTAAAAAGTTTAATTAATTTGTTCATTTATTTTTTAGGACTAGAAAAAATTTTCCAATGTTCACTGTGTCATTTCCGCAGCCTGTAMTTTCATTGAATCATCAAAACATTGAAGGTATGTTTTAATGGGTGGAGGTTTTCTTTGCCTGAAAATAAAAGGCTTAGATATGGAGTTACTTACAAGTAGGCTGGTATACTGTACATTTTAATTTGAAATCACTGTTGCATAGCATTGCCCGTGAAGGAAACAGGTCAGCTGCAATCAGTACCTGCTACTCCAAATGCCTACTCTTTCTACTTGTGATTTTTGGGGCTGAAACTTGAAAGAAAATGTTTTGTTTTTACTGTTCATAACATCATTAATATCTACACTATGCTCTTCCTGACTGGCAGTTACACAGGCCAGTTTTACTTTGGTTTCAGTTACATTAGAGAATGGCTCTTTTTCTCTTTGAGGTGTCTCCTAGGAATTCCTCCAGAGTGAAATTATGTATGTTGTGTCACACTGTAGTAAATATTCATGATAGTTAGTGAAACCTTGTATTATAAGAAAAGGGCAGGAAGACATGATAAGAAATTGGAAAAGATAAATTTATAAAGCTCTGTATTCTGCTTTGCATTACCACTTCTCCTTATCACTAATTCTTACATCACACTCCTAGTGCCTAATAATATTATCTGTTCATTCTTTTAATGAGTATGTTTTAAACTTTCTGTGTGTCACGTGTATTGGTGGCACATGTGTATTGGTGGCACACTGTGTATTGGTAGCTATGGGTGTATGAATTCTAAATAAACTAGGGATCCTTAAAGGATCTGGATTTCAGGATTGGTCTGAAATGAATCATTGATGAAAAGCAATGACTCTTTTAAGGATGTCTGGGGGTAGTACTAAAAGAATAAAGGCCTAGATCATTGCTTCCCCTGGCCTGATGTGAGAAATTCAGGAAAAAAACCCAATAATTTTAGTTCGTGGAAATGTTTGTGGACAGATTATATATTCACAGTAATACTAAAAAATGTTAATAATACATAAAAAGTTGTCTATAAAAGGTGACCATAGTAGGATTTATTAAAGTTTGAATGCCTTTTAAAAGTCAGGACCTGTTAATACAGTGCATTTTGTTTTATTTACAACATATATGTCTATTTGTAAATCACAGGGTTTTTCTATTTATCCACTAGTAAGTAGAAAAAAAAGAAAACATAACTATGAATAAGTTCTGTGGTCTTGGAGAAAGTAAGAACTGTACCAAGATAGGGAAGGACCATGTGCATACAGAGCACCAGTAGTGACACATTAAAAAGTGTGGGAAGTGAGGTCTAAGCATGTCTTAAGATGACAAATAAGTAATACCCAATTAAAGAGAGTGTTTAGCAGGGACTAGATCCCACACCTCTTAGGAAATAAAAGCCATAAATATCCCTGCCTGTTGTTAGATGCTGATAAAAGGTATGAGTTTATAATAATACTAACAGAACAAGTCAGTATATAATAAATATTAGAACAATGGCCAAATAAAACTTAAAGATGGCATTGTAAAAAAAATAAACAAGAGAAAAACCTTTGTGAAGTTTAAGGTGTTATTTTATAAGTAAAGCTAGATAACTGGCTACTGAGGTTTGAATCCAACAAAAAATCAGGTAAGCAAAGGACTTAAAATCAGCATACTACAGTAATGCAGCCACATCAATGTTTATAGCAGCTTAATTCACAATAGTTAAGCTGTGGAACCAACCTAGATGCCCTTTAACACATTGAATGGATAAAGAAAATGTGGTATATATACACAGTGGAATATTAGTCAAGAAGAAGAATGAGATTATGGTGTTTGCTGGTAAATGGATAAAACTGGAGACTATCATGCTAAGTGAAATAATCCAATCCCCCCAAACCAAGGGCCAAATGTTCTCTTTAATATGTGGATGCTAACACACAATGGGGGTGGATGCTAACACACAGTGGGAGGTGGATTAGACAAAGGGGAATAAAGGGATGGGATGGGGAGACAGGAATAGGAAAGACAGTAGAATGAATTGGACATAACTTTCCTATGTTCATATATGAATGCACAACCAGTGAAACTTCACATCATGTACAACCACAAGAATGGGATCCTAAATAAAATAATTTATACTCCATGTATGTATAGTATGTCAAAGTACACTGTCCTGTCATGTATATCTAAAACAACAAATAAAAAATATTTTTAAAAAATGAGGTATCAATGACCCAGATCCTGACACCTCAATTGATCCAAAAAATTATTTGGTTTCTATTTGATGCAATTTTTGTAACCCTGGGAAGGTAATTAATAACTTAATTATTTTTATTAAAAACTATATATTTGGAATTAGCCATCTAGACTCAATTTAGATAGTCTTAATTTTGTTGACAACATCTGAAGTATCATAATCAGGAACAAGTGGAACATATGCCTTCTTCTCTTCATTAGGTCTGACCAGGGTATTGACCTTGGCCACAACAATGTCCTAGAGCTTCTTCATAACTGTTTGATCTGGTGCTTGTTGGTCTTGACATCTAGAATAGTGTCGTGATGCTCTCTGTCTTCTTCACGGCAGACTCAGAAGTTAGGGGGAACTTGATGATGGCATAGTGGTCAAGCTTGTTTCCTCTGAGGGTGCTATTTTGAGGATATTTGGGCTTCCTCTGGAGCTGCGCTGTCTTGTGCTACCAGAACATGGGTAACACTTGGATCTTTTTGTTTTTGTCTGTGAATGCCTTTCAGCATTACCTTTTAGACTTTGTTTTTGCTTTGGCTTCAGTTTTGGAAGAGGCAGGAGTTTTCTTCTTTACTTTCGGTGTGCTTTTAGTGAAAAAGTTCAAAATATAGTAATTTAAAATTTGGGGAGTAGGGGGAGGTATTGGGGATGGAGCCCAGGGGTGTTTTACCACTGAGCTCCATCTCTAGCCCTTTTTATTTCTTATTTTGAGACAGGGACTTGCTAAATTGCTGAGAGCTTCACTAAATTGCTGAGGATGGTCTTAAGCTTGGTGATTCTCCTGCCACAACCTCCTGAGTTCCTGGGATTACAGGCATGCATCACTATGCCTGGCCTTAAGGTTGTTTTTTTTTTTTTTATTGGTTGTTCACAACATTACAAAGCTCTTGACATATCATATTTCATACATTAGACTGAAGTGGGTTATTACTTGCCAACATTTTCAAAGGGGAATATTTCTCATATAAAATTGGGGTTTGGACCTCTCAAAAAATCAGTAGATTTGGAAACATGGGGTCCATATTTCTTCAAGGTAACTACTGTGTGGTRCTTAATGGGGGTTGTTTGCCCACATAGACTCCTTATCTAACACACCTGATTGTAGATAGAAATTTGAATTGCCAATCCTCTATGTTCCACATGTATTTGTTTCTTGGTGCTGGGGATGGAACCCAGGTCCTCGTGCATATGAGGCAAATGCTCCGGCTTGTGTTTGTTCAGTAAAAAGCGATACATGAATGGGGGATTCATTTAAATTGTCATTATGTGTATTGGAATGTCCAGTTTTCTTTTTAAAATTGTGATAGCCCAAGTATTTGAGGGTTGGTAGATATTATCTCTCTTTCTATCTCTCTCTCTCTCTCTCGATTTAAAAAAATAAAATGTTTGAATTATTCATAATGTAAAAAAAAAAAACCGTTCAAAATAACTGTTACTTTAATATTAAGTTACAGGCCTAAGAATAGAAATAAGAATGAATCAAACCAGGGTACTGTTATTTTAGAATTAGTTTAATAATAATAATAAATTTCATAACCATTGTATTTACTTTGCCTTTTACATTAAGTCTGCTGTTGTGAAAAGATTAATCCTGTTAAATTTGTAACTTAAGAGAATTAAAAGTTTATAATCAATGTCTAAATATTAAAGAAACAGTAATTTTCATGTTTTTGTGTCTTAGAGACTGAATTTTAATAAATCGACCATTAAAAATATAAGAACAAATTATAATTGATGCTCCTCTCCAAATAAATAAGAACTTTAAGGTTTTTAAGTCAAAGTAATTTTTAAGATCAATATCTGATAGCTCAATATTATAATTCAAATTATGTCAAACATACCCTTCAAATTTGGTGAAAACCTGTATAAATCCTTTTATAAGTTGTGTTTGATGGATAAACCAAAAGAATCATGTTTATAAAGCTGTAAAGTTACCATTTTAGAGATTGAGGTCCTTTTTGTAAGGTTGTCTTGTACAACGTGGACAGAGGTGTCATGGATGGTGTCATGCCATGGGCTTTCCCTTTTCTTCCTTGGTTTTTGGCCAGGATAACAGGTGTCAGCCATAGTTACACAAAGATTGATTCACATTTTTTCTATACCTAATTCCAGTATTTATAGAAAACAAGTTTCCACTATGTCCATTTTTCCTGCCAGTTTTGGCCTTCTGAGAGCCATTAATTCCTGTGATGCTATTGGCATCTGTGCAGTGTCCTCAAAACCCTCATTTATCTTCTGAGTGACAAGTCTTACTATTTCTTAAAAGTACTTTGTGCACCATAGTGTTTGTTTCTGCCCTGAAGCTGTGTTGATTAGAAACCCATAGAATTGGTAGTTTCTTTCCCTTCTGGCACCTCATTGCCACTCTCTCTTGCTTTCACTCCTTTCAGAGTATTCAGAACATGAAAATAATTTTATAGTATCATCACAGATTAAATCTTGTGCAAGTAAACTGTTAACTTATTAGCTTTTATACCTGATAGTGTTCTAATATAGTCCTATTCTTTTTCTCTCTCAGTTTAAAGGGTAGTTCTGAGCAAATTATGGAATAATCAAAATAAGCAGACTATCTTAAGTAAATATAATAGCATTAACATTATAATGCTTGTATATAAGTTAAAATCTATATGTAAGTTAAAATTTTTGCATAAATTGAAACTTCTCTGGCTGTTTTTATTGCTTTTGGTATTTTAGAATCATTTCTTATACATACTATTATATTTTGTTTATCAAGGGATAAGGATAGATAAGAATTCCAGAAGAATTTTTTAAAAACAAATTTTAAGTTAAAAAGGAGAATTCCTGTAACTAAGAATCCTGAAGTTATAGAATGTTTTCTGAATTTAGTATTAAGCAACGAAGATATCTTTCTGTCTTTTTTCTGGTGCTTCTTCTATGTATTGTTACTTCTCCTGGCAAGATTGATGGTCTTCAGTGACCTAAAATCCTTTGTCACATTTGAAACTGACTTGAATCCCCTTTCCTCAGCACTTTATTATATTTCTTGAGTCAGTCCCTTCAAATAGTGAAACAAATGCCACCAGTTGTAATTATATTCTAGATTATAAAGTTAACTTTGAGACAAAGCCCTGAGGCTTTTCACCAAGGTCTTTGATATTTTGTTCTTTGTTCACATGCCTCGAAAAAATAATAAAAATGAAATCACTACTGGAGCTTTAACACCAAAAGGACTATCTTATTCAGCCTCTATTCCTTGCTGTGTCTATAAACAAATAAATTTTCCCCCTTTATAGAGGAGGGAATTCAGTATAAAAAATGACTCATTTCTGGGCTGAGGTTGTGGCTCAGCAGTAGAGCACTCACCTAGCATGTGCCAGGCCCTGGGTTCCATCCTCAGCATCACATGAAAATAAATAAAATAAAGGAATTGTGTTGCAATACATCTAAAAAATAAATATATTTTTTAAAAACGACTCATTTCTGAAAATTATAGTCTATGGTGTAGTTTGAGATAAGCCCTGGGAAATGCTAGTCTTCCATTCCCCAGGAAGTAGAATACATGCCTTGTTGACTTTGACCTAGATATTCCTGGTCTGTGTCATATAACCCTCCTAAATAGTGCCATGTTGCACATCTGGCCTCTAAGACCTACATGTGGAATGATGGGTGCAGGACCGTATGGTTAAATGATTGATTTTTTTAGGGTCTGTACTTCAGGTCTTCTTATGAATGATCTATCTATGTGTCTATCTACTTACCTAACTCATTTATTTGTTTATCCACCAATTCAACAAACAAACTTCTGGGTCAGGGGTGGCTAAGGCCAATTAGTACCCACTGAGAATATTTTAGCATCAGATTTTACTGAAATCTAATTAAAAAATTTTTTTTTTAATCTTGGTGGAGAAGATCAGTAGATTAGAGGAAAGAGAATGGGAAAGGGAAGAAAGAAAGGAAAGGGAGAGGACATGAACTGAAATTGAATTCCATCAATGTACAAATTTGTTGAGATGAACCCTACTACTGTGTATAACTATAATGCTCTAATGAAATTTTTTTAAATGAAAAAAACCTTGATGGAAACAGTAAAGAAAATATGAGAATTCCTTCTAAATGTTTATTTTTAATATAGTAATGAAATTTCTGTAAAATATTTTATTAATTTATCATATTTTTGAAACAGTAAATGTTAACATAAGAGAAATATTTTTTTTTCCTGTTCAGTGCTGCAGATCAACCCAGGGCCCCTCACATGCTAGGCAGATACTTAGCCACTGAACTATATTCCCAGCCCTTTTTAAAGTTTTATTTTGAGACACAGTGTCTCTAATTTGCTGAGGCTGGCCTCCAATTTATGATTCTCTTACCTTAGCTTTCTGAGTAGTTTTGATTATAGGCATACACTACCATGTCTAGTTAAAAAAGATCATTTTGATGGTGACATCAAAGACAGTATAGGAAAAGATTTCTTTGAAGATTCTTTATAATTCAAAGGAGAAAGAGGGTGAAATCTTTTTTTCTGTTTTTGAATCCTGCTCAAGGACCTGAGAGTTTATTCAAACAAACCAACCAACAAACAAAATATAATCTTTTTTGCAAAGATAATTGCCAATTTTCCTCAAATGTTTCTTTTAACCAGGGGGATGGAGGAGTAGAGGGAACACGGAAAAAATATGTTTTTATTGATATTAAAATTTTAAGCAACTAGAGATACCAAATTTCAAATAACTTAAGATATGGATAGTGAAACATGAGCATAAAGGATTTCAAAGTTAGAAAAATTATTCTTATTATTTTATTCACTTTATTCATTATCTATGAGGAAGTGGAATGCCATGATTTTTAAAATCCTACTTGATTTTCATCATTAAAAGTAAAAASCATTCTTTTTGTTTTAAGTATGTACTGGGGGGTTTGACCTTCCAGCATCAACTGTGAGGAGCTTGAGGGTACAGAGAAACCCCTTGGGATATGGTTTCAGAGAACAGTGTCTGCTTTATCACACAGCAAAATAGCTTTTATACCGGGTATGTACCAATTTACATATAACAGTCATGATAGGCTAGGGGTAATAAAAACATATCATCTTACAAAAGTCAAGACACCAAAACCAGAAACTGGCATGTAACCTGACCCTACAACAACAAGGGGAATAACTCCTTGTTGAAGGAGCAAGGAAATTGTGCTCGCCAACATTCTAACAGCACTTTGTCCTAAAACAGCATTCTATGTTAGGACTTCCTTGATGCACAATGAGTAATATAAGCTGAAAAACCTGTCTTGCTTGAGAGGATATATTCTGAGGTTCAACAGATAAAACTTGCTTTTACAGTAGCTATGTAGATATTGCCTAGTAAAAAGAAACTGAAAGAATGACTCAAACATGATTAATTTTAAATCCTTTGGCTATATACTAAGGAGAGGGATGACTGGGTCAAATGGTGGTTCTGTGACAGTTTTTCTAAGTAATTTTCATCCTGCTTTGCAGAGTAGTTGCATCAGTTTTCAGTCCTACCAGTAATGTAAGAGTGTACCTTTTCCCCCACATCCTCGCCAACATTTATTATTACTTGTATTCTTGTATACTGCCTTTCTGACTGGAGTTTTAATTTGTATTTCTCTAATTGCTAGAGATGTTGAACATTTTTTCATTTATTTGATGACATTCATATTTCTTTTTCTGTGAAACACAATGAATCCCACCATCATGTACATCCATAAGAATGAGATCCTAACTAAAATATATTCCATGCTTGTATAATTATATCAGAATGGATTCTGCTATCATAACTAAAAAGAACCAATACATTTACAATATAATTCATTTACAAAAGATAGGATGATACTACGCATACAGCCTTTTTTTTTTTTTTTTTTTTACTGGAGATTGAATGCAGGGGCACTTGACCACTGAGCCACATCACCAGCTCTATTTTGTATTTTATTTAGAGACAAGGTCTCACTGAGTTGCTTAGTGCCTCACTGTTCTGTGAGATTGGCTTTGAACTCGCAGTCCTCCTGCCTCAAGTAGCTGGGATTACAGGTGTGCACCACCAAGTCCAGCTTCATACAGCCTATTTTTTGGGTGTATCTTATAACTTATTTACATACAATAAGTATAGAATTACATAAAACAAAATAAAACAAAAAAATGCTTGAAATGTCAGTGAGTCCTAAATACCACCCAAGTATATTAGAATCCTTGAGTCTTAATAATGAAGATAGAAGGCAAAGGGAGTGTGGTGTTAGGAGAAATATTTTTTTTCCTTATCCTTCTTAAATGAACTTGATATGAACTGCTGTCAGCCAGCTGAGCTCAGAGGGGTCCGGGTGAGCACACGGAGTACAGCTAAAGTCACAGAGGCAAGGCAGCATCCTCTGAATCTTTAGAATGAGCTCTTGATTCCTTTTGGCCTTATAGGAAACGTTCATGCCTAACTCCACATAGCATGAATTCATTTAAATTCTGTGACTTATAATGGAGGATATAATAATACTTAGAAAGTAGATAACTATTTTTCCTTGTGTATTTAGAAATACTTACAATAATTCAGCTAAAATAGAGAATTGGGTTGGGTTTTAGCAAACTAATTCTGAATGATTGTAGTTCTATTTGGCCCTGTTTAAAATATTTTTTCAGAAATGGAATAATTTTATCATTTCATTTCCGAAATGAAAATAATTTTATAATAATAAGATATTTATAAAATATTTGATAATGTCACTTTAATTGAGGGAGTTCAAGTTATGTGATTTTTAAAATGCTGAATGAGAGGGTATAGATTTAGTATTTTAATAAAAACTGGAATTAAAGCATATGTTCTCTTCCAGAGCCTGAAGCTGAAAATACTGAAGTTCTGTCACACCTAGAAGAGGTTGGTTTGTATAACAGATTAGCTATGTAGATCATGGACTTAGATTTTTTAAAATTATGTTGATTAAACTATTAAGCTAATTTAGACCCTCTCCTAAGGCAGTAATATGACCAAACCATTTCAATATGTAGAAATTCATTCTTGTTCAAAAACCTCTTCTAGTATTTATTCTTCCTTATCTGTAATAAAATAATGTTTTCTTGATCAATTTATTAATTCATCTCAGCTGTATTTTATACAGTTCTTGCCAACAAGTTTTTTTCTCAAGTCAGGAGCCAGAAAACAGAAGAGCATAAATTTTGGAATCAGAACTAGGTTCTGAAGTCAGCTATGTTATTTATATCTGTAAAATATAGACAATATCTGTTTCTCAGTTATTGTAAGGACTGAAAGCAATAAGTTTATAACATATGGCACCTAATTAGTGCTGAATAAATATGTGTTCCTCCCTTCCTTCACTCCCTTACAAATCTTTGATTACTGGCTCAAGACCTTTATCCTCTGTGGATCTGTTTCAGATGACTCTGGTATAATCTTGACCAAAGTAATTACTCTCTCTTTAGTGTTTGTTTTTCACTGTCTGTAGTCAGTATTTCCTAGTTACTTGCCCTCTGACATTAATAGATCTTCTGAGGAAAAAGAAAGATTCTTTTTGGACAAAACTATGAAGAACACAGTGTCCTAAAGTTTCCCCAGATATTTACAGTGCATATGCTCTGAAAAGTTCTRTAGTAAAGCAGCTGATTTAATTTTGTTTTGTCAAGTATTTTTCAAACAATTATAAAATTCTACATGGCCTCTGCCTCCCTGGTGACATTTTCTTGCAAGATACTAGACTCTGTGGGATTGTTTGTTATACCTAATGCCTTATATTTAGTAGACATAAGGACTTCAAATAGGAGGGAGGCCTTAATAAGATACCGATTAAAGAATGGGTAAGATCTAGTTCTTGATTCATTTTTAAATTTCTTTAGCTTTCCCAGCAAATTGTAGTTAGTATTACTAATAAATAAATATATCTTCTTAATCTCTATATGCTGTATTCATAGAAGATAAATGGTGCCAGATAGAAAAAGATCAGTGGAAGAACAAAATTTTTTTATTTATAAACATGTTATAAATATTAGAAGGCTAAAAAAAATAATAGTGCATTCTGTGAAAGAGGTGGTAGATTTGATTTTTGGAAACAGCCAAAGTCATTGAAACCCATTCTGTTATTTAAGGTCAAGCAAATTACTAGTTTTTTGTTGCTGGAAAAAAATTCAATACCTTTAAAGTATGTTATATTCTTGAATGACTTATCAACTGATTTTGAAATCAGTTTTTCAGGAGAGATTATAATAATATTTTGAACATTATAAACATTGTGAGAATAGGTGCAATATATTTATTAAGGTAATATCTTGGAAAAGTAATGGTTATTTGAAATGTAAGTGTTGTGTATTTTCTTTAAAATATCACAACCCAGATCCATTAATTTATAACCAGGGCTTATAATACTTTCACAGATTGCACCCTCAATTCTCCTATTTTCCCCTCAGATTTCCTGTCCTTCAGTCTTTTCACCTCTTAATTGTATGTTAATACAAAGATAGGGACTAAAAATAAGGTGAATTACATAATTTTATTCCTAATTAATAATTTTTATAAAACTAAATACAAGCTTTGGTAAGAAATAATTTTGTAATTAACTGCTATGAAGTTTTGAGATGACCTGTTACTTTAACTGTTACATCTGTGTCTTCTATTAGCACAGATAATTTAAACTTAATTAAATTGATCATTTTCCATCTGTAACTATGGTCCAGCCAGAGTTACACTGGGTCCATTATTAAGTGATTAATTATGTATTCAGTCTTAGTAATTTGGTATAAGAAAGTAGTAAGGAATATTCTTTTTACTTAAGGATGAGGACAGTTGATAAAAACCACTTTTTGAGGGTAACTTACAAACAAAATAAATTACAAAACTATCAATTTTAAATTTCAAATGTTTTCTTGTATATGCTGTAATGATGGAATTTCTTTTTGGAATATACAGGAACTAAGTGAAAACAGAGATTCCCCTGAAATTAGCCTTCTTGCAGGTACTGCTATTACAGTATCTGGTATGCTTGCTGTAAAGGAGAAATCATTAACAGAGCAAGAGAAGATCTTAGCAGTACCACATGCATTTTCTGAACCTGGGGAGGAAGTTTCAATGACTATGACTTCTAAAGAAACTAAGGATGAAGAAAGCTCCCTTGAAACTTTTGTGTCTGCCTTAGAAAGATTGCTAACATCACCAGACAGCACCCAGGAGGAAAGACTGTTAGAAATAATGAATGATTTTGATCCTGGAGAATTGATTAACTCCCCAAGTTCCATAGAAATACCTTTGAATGCTTCATCAGCTTATAGCAGAGATTTGCTAGAAAACACAAAGGATGATACATTACCTGCAGAGTTACTGGCAGCCCTGAACACATTGTCAGAAACCAAGCTGGGACCCATCTGTCACAGAACAGAGGAAGGCAGCAATCTTAGTGATGAAAATGGATGTTTAGAAGTAGAGCCTGTTATGTGCCAAACTGATGAAGATTGTACACAAATAGCACAGGTGAATTTTGAATCTCTTCATTCTACTCTATCATTAGAGCAAAGTTCCAACTTAGCTGGGCTGCGGGACAATGGTCTAGCAGTGGAACAAGTAGGTGCAAGTATGAGTTGATGATTTTGCCTTTTTATATTGTTGACATTTAACAAGTAAATCTACATTGTATTAAATTCAAATCTTCTACCCAAATATCAACATCTTAGAAGATATTTTCTAATTTTGAGGCATATAGTGGTCTTTTTAAAAGTTCTTGCATACAGTTTTCAAGGGGTTAGGAAGCTAAAATAGATTTTTCCCCAATAGACCTGAGAAGGCTTATCATTAATTTTCTTGTGTATATAGGAAAGAAAGGTTCTTTACCAGAAATTTCTCTGTTAGCTCAGAAAATCATTATGTTTACCTGGATTCAGAGTAGAGACAAGATACCTCACATTAATTTATAGAATGTAGTTGGGCTGCCAGGTGAGGGAGAAAAATGCCCAGTTTTAGCAGAACTTTGCCTTCTGTGTCTGAGAATACTGCCAGAATTCCAGCAATGTTATATGTAGAGGCCCTACTACGTTCCAAGTTTCTTTTTCATGTTGGCAATTTGAATCTTCATTTTTAAAAGAAATCAAACATTACAGCATTAAATAATAATATAGAAACAAAAAGTGCTCCTTTGCCTCAGTTCCACTCTAAAGTTTTCACTCTTTTTTAAAATTTTCGTACCAGGGATTGAACCCAGGGGGTTGCTTAACCACTGAGCCACATCCCCAGCCTCCTCCCCCCCTTTTTTTATTTTGAGTTGCTTAGGGTCTCACTAAATTGCTGAGGCTGGCTTTGAACTTGGCAATCCTCCTGCCTTAGCCTCCTGAACTAATAGGATTGCAGGCATGCACCACTACGAGTTTTCACTCTTAGCAGTTTGGTACGTCTATGTCTAATTATTGCTATTATAGTCTATTTAAGTTTATTTTACTCACATGGGATTTTATCCAGAATGCTTTACAACTTATTTTTGAAATTTAATAATACATCTTGGTTATTTTTTCCAGTGTCAGGAAATATAATACTACTTAAATATTTTAACTTGCTAAATGGTCTTACAATATATGAGTATATTGTAATTTATTTAAACAGTTCATTAATGGTGGTCATTTGGAKTCTCTTTGTCTTTTAACTATTACCAAAATGCTCCTGTGAATATCCTTGGTAAGATTTAGATTGCTGAGCTCATGTTGCAACATATATGCCTAGAATAATACTACATGGGGTTCTGATTATCATATCCCCAAACAGATATAATAGGACTAAGAGAGAGACAGAGACAAGGACAAACACTGATTATGGAGATAGGGGATAAAAATTAAACATTGTAGTGCTCTAATCTGAAAAGAAGGAATATGAGTAAAATGTATGGGAAATTATGATAGGTACTCATAAAGGGAGCACAAACTTGGCAAGTCTTCAAAATAAAAGAAAAAAACTTTTAAAAGTAGAAAAGAGATGTGCTTAGAACAGAACAGATCAAGTTAAATACTCTAATTCAAGTGTGATAAAAATATGGAAATTTTTATCTTGAACCTTTACAAACTGGATATATAAATAAGCTAAAGGTTTAGATGATATGTGTAAAATAAAGATCTTCAWGGAAATTAAATTTATAATGGATTATTAAGGAAAACTAGAGCAATTCAGGTTATACTGTGACCTTTTTAAAATCAGTGTAAATAAGGTTATATACTATCTTGTCCCACAAGTTTTAATGTCCCTTATTGTTGCTGCTAAATAACAAAATACTAGGCTAAGTAGACCACTGATATGGCCTAGTATGGCTTTTTTTTTTCTTTTCCTTTTGTATAAGATACTGAACCCAAGAGCACTTAACCATTGACCCACATCCTCAGCCATTTTTTTTTTTTTTAAAGAGAGAGTGAGAGAGGAGAGAGAGAGAGAGAGAATTTTTAATATTTATTTCTTAGTTCTTGGCGGACACAACATCTTTGTTGGTATGTGGTGCTGAGGATCGAACCCGGGCCGCACGCATGCCAGGCGAGCGCGCTACCGCTTGAGCCACATCCCCAGCCCCCATTTTTATTTTTTGAGACAGGGTTTCTCTCGATGAGTTACTTAGAGCCTTGCTAAATTGCTGGCTTTGAACCTGTGATCCTCTGCCTCAGCCTCCCAAACCACTGGAATTACAGGTGTGTAACATCATGTCCAACTCTAGTATGGCATTTCTAATGTTTTTATGGGTTTTGTCATTTTTATTACTTCCTATAAAACTGAAGCACCAAGAATAGTCTTAGGTTTTTCCCTTAAATTTTACAGATGAGTATTGAATAAATCATTTTTACTAAATTATGTTCTTCTTATCTTAAGTTTTTAAATTTATATTATCTTTTATTACATTAATTATTATTAAAATAATTTAGTTGACATGCCTGTGAATTCTTGCACTTTCAGCTTTTAAGAAGCATATAAATTTTATCCAAGAACAAGATCAAACTTAATTTCTCCTAATGTTAATATTTTTCAGTATTATAATTATTTATGGATGTATTACATCTTTACAGACTGTCGAAGACCTAAGTTCATTTGAGTTACCAACTTTGCCTCATCAAAATGTCCCCTCTTGTGAGCCACTAAATAATAAAGGGAATTCAAATTCTATGGAAAATGCCTCTGACCAGGAAACTCCATGTATATTAAGAAGATCATCTAGACTAGAAAAACTGAAAGTACGCCGAGATGCAAACAGTACAAATGACATATGTAGGATTACAGAAGAGATTTTACCAAAAATACCTAGCTGTGAGGATCAAATAAATAATAAATCTTCAACTAACAATTTCAGGTATGCTATTAAATTGAATCTTTGTTCCCAGTCATGTTATGAACCTAATAAATAATTACATGTTTGAGAATGTTAGGGTCAGTGTAAAGTTACCTCTAAGTAAAGAGCTTTATTATTTTTTATGTTGCTGCTTTTTTTATTTTGCGGTTTTTGATCAGTGCCATTCCATTAAGCAAATCCTTATTTCTTGAAAACACCTGCCTTTTTTTCCCTAAAGGGGAAATAGAGTGGATACTGGCATCCTGATTTGGGAAGTGATATATAGGAGACTCAGCGTACTCAGATTTATAGGAGACTACACCTAGAGGAGAGAAACACAAAGAGAACTATAATCTATGAAGACTGGCAATATGGCATGTCTGTCACAGAATCATCTGTAGTTAACTCAGGAGCAATCTGTATATTTAATACTGCCTTGCTACTTAAGAACAGCTCAGTAAAATATCTTTGAGTTTTAAAATTGTAGTCAAAATTTGGTATGATTTTTCATGAATGCCTGTAGAAAAATTATGGTAATTTAAAAAAATACCTTTATTTTTCAAGAATGCAAGATCCTGTTTTAATGATTGAAGGTAAAGGGAAGAGTATCCATTCATCCAGACTCAAGAGTAAACAGATCAGGAAAAATAAACGACTTTCAATAAAAAATGGTAAGGTATATTTTGGATATTTCTCCATTTCTTTAAGTCTCATAGGAACAATTATGGTAGAAAAGATTCAAAGATTATCTATCTCAACTTTCTCATTTTATTGATGAGGAAACTGAACTTCAGAGATGGTAAGGTTTTTCCAGCATCACACATAACTGGGATTTGATCGTAAACTTCTGGCTCATAGGCTGGTATTTTTTTCTATATTTCTGTTTTGGAGAGGGTAAATACAGAAGTCTTTTCAAATTTCGGTATTTGACCAGCCTAACAAGACTGTGAGAATTTATACCAAGAGTAGTGGAGAAAAGAACAAAGCCAGATTGTTATTGTTCTTATCTSTTATCTATGTTCCTGAATAACCCAAACGATTGAACTGAGAAAACCTCTCAAATATAATAAGAGAATCTAGAAACATTGGTTAAAATATAATAGTGGAAAATTGGCAAAATTGGAATATGGACTGCAGATTGTATCAGTGTTAAATTTCCTGAATTTGATAATAATACTGGGTTATATAAAAGAATGTCCTGTTCTTAGAAAATAAACACTTAAATATTAATGGTAAAAGGATATGGTATATAAAAGGTACTCATTTTATTTTTTATGTGTGTATATGTATAAATGAAGAGGGAAGTAGACTGTTTAAAGTTGTGGCAAAATGTTGACAATGAATGAATTCTTTGCTCTTCTTTTTTTTTTTTTTTTCTTTTTTCAGTACTAAGGATTAAATCCAAGGCCTTGCATACATACTAGGCAGGTGCTCTACCACTAACCTATATCCCCAACCCTTTGTTTGTTTTTATAACTTTCCTATAAGTCTGAAATTATTCAAAATAAAAATTCAATAAACCAAAGAAGATAAAATTAATATATTTTATATAATTATTAACTAGAAATACAAGAGAATATCCAATTTATAATTGTTACAAAAGACAGACAATACCTGCTTATATCAGTGTTAAGAAATATGATAAATACCTGTAAGAAGAGAGCTTACAAATTCTGCTGAGGTACATTAAAATAAAAAGACTCAAATAAATGGAAAGAAGAACTTTGCTCTTGACTAAAAAGATCACGTGTTACAAGAAACTTACTTCTCTCTTAATTACTTAATAAATACAAGAGATCTCTATCAAAATAGATTTTTGTATATTTGTTCATTGTTTTATTGTTTAGGTGTTGTTTTTTTTTTTTTAACAGAGCTGGAGGATAGCTATGGCAATGTTATAAAATGATACTAAATTTCAGCTGGAAAAGTAATTATGAAAAACTAGATAAGAAAATTCTGAAAAAAGCAAAGGGAAGGTAGAGTGGCAGGACCCTGTTCTATATAATATCAAAGCATATTAGAGGAGACAGGAAGATGGTGGAAGTGAACTAGATAGTGAGTACCCATCTCTTTACAACATGGAAGGAAAGTAGTCAAGGAAAAGCAGAATTGAGAGATGGATGACAAAATAAATGTTCTAAGACTCAGTATTACAAAGTGTGAGATCTGGAAAGACTGGAAGATAGATTACCAGAGTAGAAAACAAGCTCAGAGTCCCCTAATCCTGAACTTGAACCTGGGGATAGGAAGGGGGGAGGGGCAACAGAGAGAGAAAATGGTGGGGGAGCCAAAAAATCTCTTAAGCTCACCTACTTAAAAGGAAAAACACAAGTGTAACAGATGGATCCTTAAAACAGAGTAAACAACTTAAACAAATTTATGAAAAGAAAATTGAGCTAGGGGTCTGCAGTCATCTCTGGAGCCTTCAGCAGACCAGTCACCTCCTTAAATCAGCACAACATCTTCCCATGCCCAGACAGCTGCAAATTAAACCAAAGGAAAGTCCTTTGCAGTGGGATCTCTTAAGAATCTGGCCGGAAAGAACTTCTAGAAGGACCACTACTAYCCCAAAATCAATGAAATCCCCTCTTTTACTCCCTTATCTCAAACAAGGAGAATGAGCTACTGGGAACTATACCAAGAAATTGCACCTAACACTGCTCAGCCTCTGGGACCCAGGCAAGGGCAGAAAGCTCTGTGCAGCGTCCACTCACTCAATTCAGACAGGGACAGCAATGAAGCAGCTGTGGCCCTGAACAGAGGAAAGCAGATTCACCAAATCCAGCACTGACATTGGGGAAAGGCACCCTGGGAAACCTACGGTTGTTCCCCGGGATTGCAGGCCATACCAGAGGGAAACTGCCCAGCGGAAAATTATCAGAATCTATGCAACAGGAAGGGGTTGATCCCAGCCTTAACTGGTGCACAACCTGACCTGTGGTCACACTTGGCAAGTGACAGGGCATTGTTTGAATACTTGTAGGACATTGCATCAGACTTAGTAAACAGAGGGAATCAATGCCCACCATTCACAACCGGGGGCAGTGGAGACTATGGTCCAGGTGAGCCACCAGAAACCTTTCACTACAGTACCTCAGAGAGCAGCTTGATCAGGGGAATACTTCTGCACCACAGAACACCCATGGAAAACTCATAGCCAGAGTTCCTGAATTCACAGACAGGCATGGGGATTTTCACTACTTTGAAAAGAATCTGGTAGATGCAGCTATACAGTGACCCATAGCAATCACAGGGACACTCCAAAGCCTGCATCTTGTATTACTGTACACAATAGAAACAGCCAACTCACAGTACTAACTGGTCACCTGTAGGCCCTTGAGCTGATAAACCAGAAGTTGCTAGTAGGAGGTTCATAGCAACTAGGGAATTGGCTCCTGTGAAAGACTGATGGACATCTGCTAAATGTCTAAACCCTAATGAAATCCAAACCAAAATTTAATAAAAATTTTCCTTGCCTTGATATGGTCTACTATAAACAACTCTAATGTCTACTTGATTTATAAATAACTTTTTAATTTTTAATCCAATTGCCAACATTGTACCTTCAACCTGTTTGAATATTTTTCATGTAATGTTTTTTAGCATTAATTAGAATCAATCTTCTTAACTTTGTTTTCCTAACTCTAGTTTATACTTGTTCTTCTTACCCCCTGCCCATCTTCTTGCATAATCGGATACTACCTCAAATACTAACCATTAATCTATTTCTCCTTTCTACCTTGGTGTAATTATTCTTTTATAACTTCTCTCTCTCTCTTGTCTTTCTCTCTTCTTTTTGCCCTGTCTTTCTTCTGACCCCACTTTAGTTCACATTGAAGGTTATAGTGAGTTTACTAAATTTAATAACTAATTTTTGATGTATTCTAGAACTTTATTATAGTTTTATACTTGAATTTGAGGAACCATGGAGAACAATTGCAACAAATTTTTGTTTCTTATAAGGTTGAATAGAAAGAAGCTTGGCCATGAAGTGATTATAGTAAATACGGTTCAGTGACATATTTTTAAGAAATATTTTTAGTTGTACTTAGACATAATGACTTTATTTTACTTATTGTTTATGTGGTGCTGAGAATCAAACTCAGTATCTCACACCTGCTAGGCAAGTGCTCTACCACTGAGCCACAACCCTAGCCCTCAGTGACATCTCTTAAAGCTGTGCTGATATTGGGATTATCAGAGGTTACACATTGACTTAAAATCTTATTATCTAGATATTCACTCAACCCAGGGCTCTTAAGAGAAAGAAGCTCACAAAATAGTCTTTCACTTAAAAGAAGTGAGAACTATACCGATATAAACAATATGAAAAAGCAAGAGAACAAACCATCGTAAACAGCTTATAACGCTTCAACAACAGACTTCATCGACACTATAGTAGAGAAAATGTCAAAGAAAGAATTTAAAAAGTTCATAGTTGGTATGTTCTATGAGCTAAAAGAAGATGTAAGAAGTAAAATCAAAGAGAAAACACAGTAAGTGAAAGATCACTTCAATAAAAGATTCTGAAAAAGAACCAAATGGGATCCTCAAAATTAAGAATTCAGTAAACCCAATTAAAACTTCAGTGGAAAGCATTGCCAACAGATTGGATCACTTTGAAGATAGATTTTTCAGGCCTTAAAGACAAAGCATATAATCTTGAAAATAAAATTGACCATAAAGAAAAGATGTTTTCATTGTAGAGGTCTTTTACCTCTTTTGTTAGATTGATTCCAGGTATTTTATTTTATTTTATTTTTTGAGGCAATTGTGAATGGAGTAGTTTTTCCTAATTTCTCTTTCAGTGGATTCTTCGTTGATATATAGGAATGTGTTTGATTTATGGGTGTTGAATACTTTGCTGAATCCATTTTATTAGTTCTAGATGTTTTCTGGTGGAATTTTTTGGGCCTTCTATGTATATAGAATCATATTGCTGTCAATTAGTGCTAATTTGAGTTCTTCTTTTCCTGTCTGTATCGCTTTAATTTTTTATCTAATTACTCTGGCTAGAGTTTCAAGAACTATGTTAAATAGAAGTGGTGAAAGAGGGCATCTCTGTCTTGTTCCAGTTTTTAAGGAAATGCTTTCATTTTTTCTCCATTTAGAATGATGCTGGCCTTGGGTTTAGCATATGAAGCTTTTACAGTGTTGAGGTATGTTATTACTATCTCTAGTTTTTATAGTGTTTTGAACATGAAGGTGTGCTGTATCTTATCAAATGCTTTTTCTGCATCAATTGAGAGGATCATATCATTCTTTTTTTTAAGTCTACTCATATGATGTATTTATTATGTTTATTGATTTCTGTATGTCGAACCAACCCTGTATCCCTGAGATAAATCTCACTTGATTGTGGTGCACTATCTTTTTAATATGTTTTTGTATGCCATTTGCCAGAATTTTATTGAAAATTTTTGCATCTATGTTCATCAGGTATATTGATCTGAAGTTTTCTTTTCTTGATGGATCTTTGTCTGGTTTGGGTATCAGGGTGATATTAGCCTCATAGAATGAGCTTGGAAGAGTTCCCTCTTTTTCTATTTCATGGAATACTTTGAGGAATATTGGTGTTAATTCTTTTTTGAAAGTCTTATCGAACTCGGCTGAGAATCCGTCTGGTTCTGGGCTTTTCTTGGTTGGTTTTGATTGCATTTTCTATTTCATT